CTTCCATGATAAATAAGATTCCTGTATAATAATGATTGTTGTTTTGAAAAAGTTAGATTAACTGAACTAAGTATTTTACAATCTGATAAATGTAACATTTAGTACTACTGGATTTTTTGAGCTGAGTGAGCTCTACAGTGAAGATATCATTGTCCTTCAGGATAGGTTTGTTTAAAATATAATCTTATAGTTCTGATTAAACTGGTAATAAACTCTTCATAATTGAATAATCTAGCTGCAGCGATATAGGATTACCAAATGTATCAATTCAAGCTTTAAATGGTACTTAGTGCACTTTTTATACATTCTCCTATCCTTATTACTATTATTATTATTATTATTATTATTATTATTTTAACTGAAATCACAAGTGTTAGATGTAACAAGAAGGTTAAAAGCTTACTTGGTGTGTGCATAAAAGTGTTTAAGTTAATCAAGAGAAACAATGGATCATTTAAATTCATCTCATAGTAAACTAGAGCCAATCAAATGTAGAAAACCGTAACATCTAAACCATAATAATTTTAGTTAATTTAAACCTCCAAAAGCTATTAAGCGCACTTGTAGCAACTCATAATTAAGTATAACATATTCTAGTGTGAAAAGAACTTCATTGAACTCGATGTGACAAAAGAGTTTAAAACTAACAGATCATTCTCAAGTCTTTAAAAAAATTGTTATCTTTACGGTTGGTCTTTCATTATGAAATTCACACAGACTTGAAATGCAGAAGTTATTGTAGAAATAATATATAATTTAAATACGTATCTTATTCAAATAAACCTTCAGTTAAGATGTTAAAACTTTGACAGTAACCAACTAATATCAAGCAAAGTAATGTACAGTTACCTAAACTAGCGATTGGATTGACATTTGATCGAAAAAAAAACTTGATCGGTACTCTGGATCAGATAACATGACATTGGTTTATATAAAGTAGTCACTTTTTTTAAAAAAGATTATGTAAATTTTTATCCATATAGAACGAATATTTAAACTGAAACGACCTTCATTTATTCATGATAGGTTTATAAGTCAGTTTTCTTTCTCAATATTAATCTATGCTCCTTTACTATTATATGTCTACTGATAACTTATGATCTCTAGTTATTCTGATGTTTCACATACCGTCATGCACATAATTTTACAAACAAAACACTTGAGAGAAGAAAAAAATAGACGAACTCTAAAATAAACTAAAATAAACAAAATCTATTTGTGAATGAAGTTAGATAATTAGAAAAACGATTCAAAAAAATATTTTTTTTGTGTTCTAGGTAACACCAGTTTGTCTTTCGATTATTGATTTAACTTATGTACGTAATGTTTTAGCATGAATGAAGTATCACAGGTTGATGTATAAAATTACAATTATATGAGATATTTTGATGGATTATTTCAAGAGTGATTATAGATTAAATAACATTTTCATGACAAATTAGCATCAGTTTAAAATGTATTGTATATCATAGAGAATAGCACATAATTCATTATAGTATATAATTTTGTGTTCTTTTTTTAGTAATAACTGAATGTTTAGTCAACATAGCTCTGTAAAATAAGTCATTTTGAACATTAGAATACAATTTGGGTACTTGATAAGTTTAGATATACAGGATCTCCAAGATTTTAAAATAGGTTTTCACAGAAATAATAATACATTATAACTCAGTTGTCAATTACAGTTTCATCTATTAATTTATGATCAACATATTTATGTGAGGGCCAATGAGACTGATCAGCTGGTACTAATACATGGTATTGTACTCAAACTTGAAATCTATTGTTCACACACCGTTGATTTTAACCAGTGGGCCATTACTTCATATAGTTTAAGGAGGCTTTTTTAAAGAATAACAGGCCTAGAAATGTAATTGTAAGTGAAATGAATCATATATCCTCGTTTTTCGTATTTTAACAAATGAATCAGAGACTGCTTTGTCCATTAATTCACGTTATTTTCAACGGTTTTTGTTATACTCAACAATTTGTTATCGATTATTCACCAGAAGTTTCCAAAGGTTGCTGTATTGAGCCAAAATACTCATCCTTATCTGTTTTAATTAAAAAAAATCAATAACTACCTTTTTTATCTTGTAACTGATGAGAATTTGTGGCCATTGGAAGTTAACCGACTCTTATAACCAAGTAGCCACCTCTGAATGACAAACAGAAAATAAAGGAAATTTAATAACTAATTCTATGTGGTGTAGAAAACTGTAGTAGTGTTTATATCAGATTTAATCTGAAATCGAATCGATGATAATATTAAAGTATTTCAGCACTGTCCATGGTAAAACATCGATTCAACGAGTGACATAAGACCGTTGTAAAAAGAATTTCAAAAAATTACATAAAATTTCATGATTTAGAGTATTATATTTTTCAAATCGTTATCAATAAACTGTATTCAGATATCTTGTGAGCTCAGTAAATGCAATACCGTCAAAATCCTGCTTCCTAGATTTATTAAAATCTGATTTTCAGCATTGGTTATAGTGCAAGCTAATGCTCTCCACTATGACACAGTTTTAACTACATTCTATTGAGTTTTGTTTTGCAGTGCTTTCAAGTGTTACTCAAAACTTGAAACTTTACATTTTAATAATCAATAATTCGTTGCTGCTCTATTCTCGTTTTCAATTCTTCTCTATAATATGATTTTGATTTTTTGTTGTTGAAAATATCCTATTTTGCATATCAAAATAAAGAGGCTTTTAGTTATTCTAGCTATAAAAATGGATAAACCATGTACACTAGTACTTCTATGGTTCCATTTCAAATAATCAATAAGACGACTTTTCTTTTTAACACGAATCATTACTTTTTTTATCATCTTTAATGATTTCTAGCTGCAGTCCCTGTTGGCAAATATTTTTTGGAAAATATCTTTAATCTGATGTTACATGTACCGTGTAACGGATCGTTTTTTTCCTCAGTCACTATCAAAATAATGAGATTATGTATAGGTTACTAATATTTCAAGAAGATAATGTGACAATCTAGAAACTTAGTGAAAAATTACTTATTCATAGTATTATTCTGCACAAGTTTTCTTTCTACTACCATGCCAGTTGTGTTTTACTAAATGTGTGACCTATATTTGGTTAACATGAAGTCAGATAAGTACATAGAAGAATTTAGGTTAAGATGACAGGTTTTCAAACATATCTATATGATCAACGTTCTTTTTAAAAAAAATTTAATTGTTCCAGTTGAATGGTGTAAATGAACTAAATAGTTTTCTAGTCATATCCTTTTTCTATGTCAACAAAACTAACTGTGAATGGATAACACAGAGAAAAAATGTAAAAATTTGACAAAATATCATATCTCCTGGTTGATATCCATTTCATCAGTTTGAAAGTTAACTATGTAAAAATTGAACTGAATGAAGACAATTTAGCACAAAAACTTAACCTGTGATTAGGATAGAAAACTGAAAAAATAACTACGATTATTATTGGTTACTAATTGTTCTATTTGATTAGTTCAATCCTACATTTTTCATTAGTCAAAGTTAATATTTCAAAAGCTTAAAGGTGTTTTAACAACTTATAACAAATGATTATATATCTTACACTAATATCACATTGATTGAATACATATGTTCATGCAAATCAACACTGAAATGACACTAAGTGAATGTCACATAAATTCCATTAGTTAATGGTTTCAAGTCTGGATTCCAACAACAATAACGTCACATTTCCTACTCAATAATACTCATACTAGCCTATCTTAAAAATGCTTGTTGGCATAGTTATTATCGCTTTTCAGTAAAAAAGTAGATTTTTCAGTCTGTCTACTATCCCAGTAGTGTTTCTGATTGAAACTGTTCTCCATAAAATCATGATTTTTAGATAAGCTAATGGCTGATTTTCAACTTGAATGGTACGATGCGCTTAATTGGACATTGTCGAGAACATTGCTGATCAGATCGCTTCTATGATAATCATTCGTTATATGATTACACTACTATTATTGCGGTTTTGATTCGTTTACTAATAAATTTATTGTGTTTTAAGTCCACAGAGAAGTATAAATGACAACAAAATCGATCTGAGAAACTTGAGTTTTCTTCTTGGATATAGGACAGTTATTTCCTTCAGTTGTTCTTGAGTTTTCATTGATTACCTGACAAGAATAGAAGCTTGGTAAACTGATAATCCCTGAGGTATGAATTTGAAAGATTAAATCAACTCTTACCAATATTACAAATACACGTTTCAAATATATTACAGCAGTTTTACTCCCTCTTTTTTCTGAGTTTCTTTCATTATTGCAAACTTACATTAATTTTATATTCTTGCTCTTACTTTAGTATCATTAGAATTCGGTTTATCATAAGAATGTTTCGACAATATTCTTGACAGACATTACGCAACCTGTCAAAAGTTGATCGATATGTCTCAATTCTTTTACAAATAAACACTTTGATTAATATTATCTAAAAGAATTTATCACTTATTTGTAACATTTAACAACTATAATTAATTTTGTGAATGGAACAATTTTTGATTCCACCTTAGTAGTAACATATTCTTGACTTAGATAAAACGTCTGATGACTTATTTGTGAAAGTCTTTATTTAAATGCATGTAACTACCAATTCCTCTAAACAATCTGTCAAATAACGGTAACCTCATAGAGATTAATGTGATTTTTTATATTAAATATAACGTTTTATAACATTGAAGTGGACTGAAATTAAAAGGATATAATTCTTGTTAAGATTTCAGAATGAGTCAGCAAGACGTTAAATTTAATGTTACGCGAAAGACTCCGTTTCTTTTTCTGCGAAAATTTAGCATAACATTAGATTCATGATTACAGTACATTCTCATACGATGTTCTAGTTTCTTTATTCATCTATTTCGAGTTTACTGAAATAGCATTCCTACCAATGTCTGTTTGTGGAAAATCAACATTTAATAAAACATTTAATAATCACAGGAATCTCATGATATAGAATTTATTTTTGTCATTATAATTTACAGGAATAAAGTGATTCATTGTGATTTGAAACCGGAAAACATTTTATTACGACGTCCAGGAAAAAGCAAAATCAAAGTAATCGATTTTGGATCAAGTTGTTATATTAACGAATGTCCATATAACTACATACAGTCACGCTTTTATCGTGCACCTGAAATCATTCTTGGCTTACCATATGGTACTCCGATTGATATGTGGAGCTTAGGATGCATTCTAGCTGAATTTATAACTGGTAAGTTACGTTTACTTGAATGTGATTATAAGTCTAAACTATTCTTACAGATTATGCAACCTAGCGCTATCAATTTACTTTTTTTACCGTGAAACATTGATCTTAATGTTTCAATAATTATTTTGTTTTGTAACACTAAAAAATCAGAGTTATTACCATACATACCATTGTTTTATACTTTACACAGCTTTCACAGTTAACAAGTCGTACATTTTACACTTGTCATAGATAACAAACTGGAGATAGAGTAGGGATGTCGTATGACTGACATCCTAGGAAGGCATTTCGATCTCGGATTTGACAAACACTTTGTCTTACCTTTAAATAACACCCGGACTCAACCACTTGGCTATCAGCTTCCCTAGTTATGGTACACAATACTTATCACTGGAATGTAAGCACTCCATAGGTGTTTGAGTAAATCTGGAGCTAAATTCATTTACTATCGTAAGCCAAAACATCTTAGGTATTCACTTATTTCTGTAACTGTATGGGTGATGAAGGGTTGCAGTGGGTTGCAGGCGAACTTAATTCATACTCAGTCTGAACTGCAGCAGCTTGTATCCTACAAGCTATCATTGTGTTAATTAAGACGGATTGTGGAATTAGTATAACCCATCGGTACTATCAGTTATGCTTGCTGACCTTGAAGAGGCCAAAAATGTAGATAAACATTCATTTCATGATATGATTACGCGAAGTAAAGGATAATGGTTAAATAAGCGTCTGTTGATTTGACTCTCTATACAAGATCCTGATGTAGCTTGAGAACTTCTCAGACATGACACTGGAAAGATACTTAGGTGGTTAAAATATATTCTTGATCAGTAGGATCCGATATCCTAAGTGGATGAAATAGCGTCTGTATAATTACGTGATCTCTATCTGTTATTATTCACCATTATCGCTTTTTAAATGATTTTTGTATTATATTTCTTTGTAATATTGTCATTTCACTTGATAAAACTCATCTGCTGACATTTATTATACCGTGAGTTATAAGTGTATAGTTCAGTTTTTGAAGTATCATATCAGTTTTTTCCATAGTCTATCAAAGCATTTTTAGGGATTTATTTTACACCTCCGTTAATACTCAAGTCGGAATGATCCAGTAACCAATAAGACGAAAACACTTCAACTTAACCAGATATGTTTATTAGCGGTTCTATTTTGTTCGCGTACTTAAAGTAATTTTCAAATCCGTGGATACCGTTTACCATAAATGTGAAGACAGTTCTTAACATACAATTTCTTGGTTCAAACAGCGTTCTTCATAAAAAATCTTTGATATCAGTGATATCTCTAAACTATTCGGCTAAAAAGAGTAAACTTCATAAAAAATAAAACGTCCTTAGTTATAACATTTAGGTATATATAGCACTCTTCTCATAAGTCGAAATCAGGTTAAAACATTACTAAATACATACTATTTTCAGTCAGCATATTTGGAAGGTAAAATTCTTCTGTTTTGAAAATAATCAATAAGTTACACCTGACTGAATGAATTCGAGTTAGGTATGGGTTTGATGGCTGAAAGCATGTTTAGAAACTACAGAGTAAAACATTTATGCTAGACGAGCTTGGTTACGTTCATCTGTGACTTGATTTTGTTCTACCTACCACACAGTTACTTCCGAAAGCATGCCATTAATAATATTAGGTTTGTGTGAAGTTCAGAATGTGAAGTTTAGAATAGACATCGGAGTTATTTAGCACATAATTAGTTTAATTCTAACTTTGGTAGATACCTGAATTAACAAAATGCAATACCTCATCACATAGTCCATGTGTAACGTAACCACCATTGTTCTAATATGTTTCTGTTACGAATGCGATCTATTCCAAAGATTCCACTCCCACTTACCTTGTTTTGTTTGATGTGTACATAAGTCCATATCTCTTCCGCTTCAGAGAAAGTAGTTTATACATACATACCAGCTGATACCTACTGAAAATTAAAGTCATGTTTGTAACTCTTCAATGGGTTGTAACGATAATCCAATCATAGATTGAACCCTTGACCTTCAAGGATCAAAACCAGTGAGTTCTAGCCAAATCACCGAACTAGAGTCTACTAGCCCTCATTTTTGAAATCAATCGGTTCAGGGTGTTCCATTACTTCTATCCATTTTCACTGATGATACCTGTCCAACTTCCGAGCTAACTGGGATCCATTATTCACGGCCTTTCAATCGATCGTCATGGTTTCGTGAAGTTTTAGTTATATTAAAATTGAGTAGAATTGAGAAAGATAGTTAGGTCGGATGTTAAATGTTAACTCAGAATTTTGTAACAACTGCAACTAGCATGATTTATATTGACAAAAAAATCATCAATAATCTTGAAACTGTGAATCCACATTACCACATAGCAGATTGAATTCTATACTAAGTAAGAAATGCGATTCCTAGAAAGTTTTCTGTGATATTTCTAACGAAATTTCCCAAACAGAACGGTGAAATGTTAAGCAATCTGTATCATCTACAATAATGAGTACAATATTTATTTATTTAGATAGATCATTTCTTAGGACAAAGTTTAGGTTGTTAATTTTTGGTGCATATTTCATAAAATCAATCATCGTGTGACCTGATGTAGAAAGAAACCTTTTTACACACATTGTAACTTACTATAAAAAAAGATACACAATATATGCTTATTAATATTTTCAATTTTAGATGACTTAGTAAAATTTAAAAAAATGGAATCTAAATTCAACCTTAAAAATATGAGATGATTTGAATAATGTCTGATTTATGCATATTTTTTAAATCCAAAACAGTGTTTTATGGTGAATGACTTCCAAAACTTGTACACTTTAGTTATAAGTAAAACAGACAGAAATAAAATTTATGTCAGTGAAATGAATGCAATAAATATTCATTTCATTCGCGTGAATCCGTAAGTATCAGTCGTTTACAGACGCTACGGAACACTGTTGAAAAATCAGTTGAGTGGAACTCGTCACTATACATCAACTCAATTGATTATGAGAAAGCGTTTGACGGTGTGGACAGAAGAACATTATGGGAACTACTTCGACACTATGGAGTACCTGAGAAGATTGTCAACACAATCCGGAATTCATACGACAGACCACAGTCCAAAGTGGTGCATGGAGGACAGCTGAAAGATACATTCCAAGTAAAGACCGGAGTAACACAAGGCTGCCTACTCTCCCCTTTCCTATTTCTTCTGGTGGTTGATTGGATTATGAAGACTTCGACATCTAAAGGAGAGCACATAATACAACGGATAGCTCAGAATCAGTTAGACGATTTGGACTTCACAGATGACCTAGCCCTCCTATCCCATACACACAGACGAAGACAACTAGTGTACCAACAGCCTCTGCATCATTAGGCCTCAACAAACACAAACGAAAGAGCAAGATCCTTAATTACAACACAGAGAATACCAACCCAGTCACATTTGATGGCGAAACACTGGATGATGTGGAATCTTTCACGTACCTGGGAAGCATCATCGATGAACAAGGAGGATTGGATACAGACGTAAAGGAGAGGATTAGCAAAGCAAAGGACGCGTTCCTACAATCGAAGAGCATATTGAACTCAAAACAACTGTCAATCAGTATCAGTGTCAGAATCTTCAATACGAGCGTCAAGATAGTTCTAATGTATGGAGCTGAATCTTGGAGAACTACTACAACCATCATCATGAAGGTGCAAGTATTTATAAATAGTTGTCTACACAACATAATCGATGTCCATTGGTCGGATACCATCAACAACAGGATACTGTGTTGGAGGACAAACCAACTCCCAGCTGAAGAGGAAATTAGGAAAAGATGTTGGAAGTGGATAGGACACACAATTCGGAAATCATCAAACTGCATCACGAGACAAGCCATAACTTGGAATGCTGAAGGAATACGGAAAGGAGGAAGGCTGAAGAACACAGTGCGCTGAGAATCGGAAGCAGACATGAAATGGATGAGTAACAACTGGAAACAACTGGAAGGGATTGCCCAGGATAGGGTTGGATAGAGAGTGTTGGTGAGCGGCCTATGTTCTTCTATGAGGGGTAACAGGCATAATTAAGTCATAATTACGAACAATAAAGCTTGATTCACAAAGTCATATACTGTACTGCTTCCTGGTTTCCAGATGCTATCTAAACTTGATGTCAATTCATGTGGTAATTGTTCTTCAACAAACAACTACACATACAATATAAAAAGCTCTGTTACTATTTGTCTACCTTTTTAGAGGTTTGTTGGCGCCGTCAGTTATTTATGACAGTACAAAAAAGAGTGTTTTGAAATCACTATCAATATGAAATATTGAATTTATAATCTTTATTTTAATAAATAATAAGCTTTAAACATATTTTGATTAACAAGGCCGTATACATTGTTGGATTTGTCAGGCTTATAAAATTTATTATTAATAATGGAAAGGCATTCAGAGAGATGCAAAATAATTACATTCAACTCTAAAGGTTTTCACTTTCTTTGACAAACATGGAATAGTAAACGAACTACATTTGAAACTCATTTAAGCGCAGAATTTATCTGAAGAAAATAATTTTGTAGACATGTATTTGTTAAAGTGATAAACTTCTCTAGCCACTGATTATGTATTTTGCTGGCTAATAGATATTTACTGTTAATTAACCATCTCGACTTAAATCTTAGATCACCCATGTAATAACAGTGTCTTTTGATTATCTAAGAGTATCCACAAGACTAAGTGATATGTTTTGTCTTGTATATACTTCTTGTTCTAATAAAATATTAAAACTTTTAACATGATATTGTTCATAAAAACCACCTTACTCTCTGAGATCTTTCAAACATAATTCGCTCAATACTTTGTCATGTATTCTTGAACGTCCAAAATGTATAGTGATGAAAGGTTTGGTAATGTTTCGACGATTCAAATTGACATAATTTTCACTAGACTTTTCACAAAGAACTTTTAAGTCAGTGAAACTATAGTGTCGGTCATTATGCTAAGCTCATATAGCTTATTCTAGCTTCTGGACAGGTCAATCTATTCATCCTTCTTGAGTCACGCTTTGACCTTGTTATTTATTCGCTTATCAACCTTGATTGTTTTTATATGAGCGCGTGTGTGACTATAAATATTGATTAACGCTTGATTAAATGGAGTTGTCTCACACGCCTTCTCCACTGCACGTCATTTCTCTTCGCTCCGTTTTTCTGATTGTCTGTCCAGATCAATATGTACAAAATATACATATTTAAAACTTCATTCTCGTATTTGACTTATTTGATTCCGTTATACAGTAACGCGATTTAAACCGATGATTGTATACGTGGATTGACATTATGTATATTTCAATGACAATCAATCATACGATCTAATTGGAGTCAGATCCAGGGCCACTAAAGTGATGAGCCCAACATCGTCCGATCTAATTGACTTCAGAATGAAGGGCCCCACTAAAGTGGTGTGATAGGAACGCGCAGCCTTCTAATCTAGAGTCAGATATGGGGCCACTAAAAAAATCATAATCATATCTAATGGATATTAATTTGATATTAGTTGTAATTACGATAAGTTCAATTGTTATAGCATCTGAATAAGTGTTAGCGTATATAAATGAAAACTCATTTTATTCAAGCTTTATCTTCACCGTTTAATTTTCAAAAATAAATTTATACATTTATATATTTTTGTCTGAAAAATGGGAACATTTAGCAAACAAAAAAATAACTGAATTACTTTTGTTTTGAAAATTATTTTACTAAATTACTTCATGGTGTAGGCCTTTTTTTCATCTTGTGATGCTTTACAAATCACTGACATTTACAAACGTTATCATTATTATTACTATTTGTATTATCATAGTCACTAATCATGATGCTGCCTAAATTTAGAAAGAGCAAAAGATATAACATAGGAAAATACTTACAAATTATCTACGAAATTTCATATCTTGATAATGTACACGTGAATATGTTTACATTAAGAATAATCTGAATTTTCTTACCTAAAAGACAGTGAATATATTCATCACTGTCCTTTATATTATATGTTTATTGTATTAAACGTTACTTGTTAACCCATTAGTTTGTATAGATTATTACATAATAGTGTAAATTAAAAGATTTATTAAATAGAAATGATCAAGTTTTCAATACTTATCAAATGACTTGTTGATTTAAGTATATTAAGAATTGTTTGCTTAGTCACACATAAAACATAGCCATTCAAGTTCAATCACTGTAGGCAGTTAATGAAAAGCAACTAACCTTTTATTGTACTGACGGGTTTCAAACAAAAAATTGTTTGATTTCTTATTTTCTTAGTTATCAAAACAATGATAGGGTTATAAGCGGAAAGAAATAATAAATTAATGTGTTATATTTCAATCAACATTGTAAATTATGTATTCTCTAACTTGGCTTTAAATTGTATAAGAACTTGAAAATGATTCGTAATGATACATAATCCATCTTAAATACCAATTTATTATCCACTCGAGTAAATTATTCTATTAAACTTAAATTGTTAAGTTTGTTAAGAGTCATTCAGTCAGTCAGTCAGTTACAACGTACGATCAGGCATATACATGAATTGGTCCAAGTTGCTACACCTTATTAGCACAGCAAGACGAACACCGGATTCATAGAAGCAATTAACTCAATGGTGTAATATATAAAGGAAAGATTTTATGTAAGGATATAGTCATTAATATTTATTAAATGTTCATGGTTAACTGTTAACTTGTATATCAATTACATAAATTTTAACTAATTCAGTCAAAATGCATAACTTCTTATTTAATATTCCATTTTTATCTATATCTCAATTCCGAGATTAACTAGAGAAACTATTCGGTAAAAATTAAACCAACAACTGAATTTTTTCTTTGTTGTATTATATAAATTATATTGCTGAATTGTAAATGGTAATGGTATAATAAATCATTAAAAAAATAGATATCTTAAATACTAGTTCAAACAAGTTTCTTAAATCATCTTTATCTTCATATTTTGTACTATAGATCAACATTTCCTTAACAGGATATTATTGTAAGTTACGTGAGATTACTATGAAATTCATAAATGAAACCAACTGTATGATATTGACACTTAAATTTTATTTTGCTGTTAGAATTCATTTTGACTATGAAAATCTGGTTAGCATGCTATGAAACACGTAAAACAAAGATAACATCATAGTACAGAAACTTTAAAAAAAGGTTAAATTTGAGTTCAAAATGACCAATAATAGGAAAATGAGAAATAAATTATTCAAATCAGTTTATCATGGAAAAGTATCTAAGAATCCATACTTTAATAAAGAAAAATAACTATATAAGACTGTTTATTTGTTAATATATTATAACATTATTAAGAAAAAATGAAATCGCCAATGGATTTCTACTGACGTAGGATAGAAACTCCTCCCTAGTAGGCGACCTATGCTCCTCGACGAAGGCTAACACGCGTAAGTAATTTAATACACATTAAATAACCACATGAAACTTTGAGCGTTACATTATATCAATGTAGCATAGCTGAAGCACCGCTCGATTAGATGGATTGGACAGTTACAGGATTTTAACCAAAAGGGAATTATAATCTTTTATGTGACATTACTTGTCATGCATGTTTCAATGGTAAAGGTATGTAATAAGTTTGACTTGACTGTATTATTCTCTACATTTCTGAAATTAACTACTAATTGGAAGATAGTATAGGTTAATTCTGACCTAAAGATGGTTCCGCCTATTATAAAATGGAAATACTTATTTCTATTCCCCATAGTTAACCTATCAAAACGCCGAAGATGTGTTGCAACCTAGGATAACAGAACTGAAAACTGTTTTTTTCTCTCCAGATGTACATATAACTACTTGATATTTCAACAGTTACAATCGGAATACTACGCTATTCATTTAAATTTACTGAAATTATCACATCAAAACTACCCTTAGTTTTCACATTCAAAGTAAAAAGTTTTCCAAATGAACCATTATCAATATGAAACGATACTGCTACAAATAATCTAAACTTAATCACAAAGGGATCCTAGTTTCTCAAAACACTCAGATCTCCAAATATAATGAAAAGTTTCTAAATACAAGAATATCATGGGCAACAAGGTGGAATAAAATAGTTTTCACTATTTAGTAATATGTATTAGGAAACTACTAGTGTTTTCATGAGACACTGCTGTCAGAAGGACAAACATTTTCTTGTTGTATCGATATTCATCTTAAAAATATGTTCATTTTCCCTAATATCACTACGACTTTAAATATGTTTGGTAATCAAACTCCTTACCTTTTTGATTTATTATTCGTATTTTAAGGAGAACCATTGTTTCCAGGTGAAGATGCTTTCGACCAATTAGCTTGTATTATGGAAATCTTGGGGATACCACCGATGCAAATGATTAAGAAAGGCAGTCAAAGTCATCATTATTTCAATAGTAATGGTCAACCTTTATATATGATTGAACAACAAAAACACACCTATGGAAATGAACAGTCAGATAATACAAAAGAAGCTTTAACCAATCTTAACAAATCTTTAAATTCTTCATCAACTAAACATAAACGTTCTGGTAGTAGTAAAAGTCAAAAGTTAAGAAAATCACCTGGCTCTATGACTTTAGTTGATGCCTTGACTAGTTCGAAAAACTCTTCCGTTTGCCTACCATCAAGCGATAAATCAAATATTGGACATAAAATTCCACAACCATTTGACCCAGATATGGTAGATTTTCTAGAACGTTGTTTAAAATGGAGTCCAGATGAAAGAATGAATCCAATTGAAGCATTGGATCATCCATGGATTAAAAAAATGTCATCACAGAGTTTTGGAAGAACAGATAGTTTTCTAACAACTTGTAATTCAAATGGTAATACAGATTCCAATTATTTATACAGTAATGATAATATATTTACTAATGGAACAACTAAACACGTATCTGATACAGAATTCGTTGCCAGTATTTTAGGCGTACGTACACGAAAACGTGATCCCAATTTACTGCACGTTTCCAGAAAGTCAGAAGCTCACAGTATAGTAAGTATTAGTTTTATTATTGTTTCGGGATGTTAGTGTGATTTATTCCAAGAGACCACTTATTTGATAGGCAAATTTATTTTATTGTCTTTATCCGTAAATTAATCTTCCTTTTTCATTGTGCTCTTTTGTAAGCTATATTCTGGTCGAGAAAAGTCTTCCGATCCCTTAGTAATTCAGAAAAGATTGCTTGAGTGTGATATCTAGCTGATTGTCAAATACACCTTTATACACATTATTGTTCAGGACCAATAATTTTCATTTGAGATGTTTAATTTGAGAACGTTAAATTGACACATAACTATTTATCTTGTTACTGATGGTCTGAACATATAGTTATTAGCGTTTGTGATTATAAAGTTAATCTATATTTGATAAGATCATTAAGCGATTTGTTTAGGGACTGGATTTTCTCTGTCTAAAGTTTAAGCAAATCAACTACGATCTTTTATCCTATAATCTAGTAGACATATTTCACATGTGATCAACAAAATTCAATTCATATAAAGAAATGAATAAAATGACATTGATTATCATTCGGCAATCGATAGTTTTGTAGATAGAATTAAACCGACGATCTGTGACTAGTTACACAAATTATAACTTCTCAACTCATTCTGGGTTTTTTTCAAGAATGCAGAACAATCAAAGAATAAAGCACTTAATAATGCAACTTTACTTAGATCTTAAATATCACTTCCTCATTTTTAGGCTGTTTAGTTTGAAGGACAAAGCTCTAGTCTATAGGTCATAATGTATTTATTAAGATTTTGTGGAGCTGATAAGAGTCTTCTGTAAATAAATCTACTAACGAACCAAGAAATATCTTTGGCAGTAGTGGATTTTGAATGAATTTTTAAAAATAATGTCTGATTATATTTCGCGTTGATCTCATGCCGATCTAACTGTCAAATATTTCAAAGGACAAAGGGTGTGATAAACAGTTTACAAACCTGTTCACTGTAGGATCACCTTTATACAAATTTTCTTTAAAACATAATTTAGTTCATGTAAATGAACTATGGTTATAAAAAAGTAATTAAGTGCTTACAATTACTACAATTTTCTATTTCCATAGATACCTGACGATACCATGAGTCTGAATGAATCCTATCGTCGGTATTCCTACGACCAGAATAACAGCAGACTATCTAATTTGTTTGAAAGATCAGTAACATGCACTTCTAATCCCAAATCTCGCAAAGAAATGTCTTCAGATGTATCAAGTCACCATACCTCAGAAAGTTACCACAACACAAAACAATATCGAAGTTTTTTAAATAACGGTCAGAGTGATGTTAGTAACAACATTAATGTGGACAATCGCAATCATAGTGTTTCTCCTCAAGATGACAATCAAAATCGCCGAAGTCGTAATCGCCATCGTAGTCGTCGTCAAGGTATTAACACTCATTCTGATCATATACAAGAAGAAGAAGACAGTCGCAGTCATTCAGACTCAGATCAGGTATTAGAAGAAGAACATGATTATACCACCAGTGGAGAAACGCCCTTGCTAAACATCTCAAGTATTTACCAAACAACCAAAGAAGAGAACGATCGTATTGAAGTAAGCGTTTGTGACATTGAACAAAGAAGTAGGAATTCAGGCTACTATGACAATGCTAGTAATCTTAATGGTAATTCGAAGACAACAGTGTGTAATGAAGAAAAGTTTATACTTGTCCCAAATTTGATCACGGGTGAACATGACATATAGTCTACATATTTTCTAGTATTTGTTTTATCTTTTCTGTATTTACAAAATCGAAAACGAGATCGATAAAAAAGAGATTCGGAGAGCTAACTCTTGTTCTCATTACATGAAACATACTACAACTGTTTTCACAACCTACTCATGACTAACTACAACATACAATTGATTTCAACTTATTTTTTAATTTAACTGGAAGAATATCATCAATTTTCGTAACTGTTTTATCCATAAACCTCCCTCAGACTTGTATTATCCCCACTACCTACTTCCTATAATAAAATATACATACCAACAACATGCTACCTGCAATGTGGAATGAACAATCTACTTTGTTAATTTACGATTAAACATTCTTTCTTTGATCTTCATTACAGACTGATTCAACTTATCCATATCAAGTCTTTCTTGGTTATGTACAATTAAGTACTAGGCTAAAAATAACTTAGAAAATAAAAGCTACCTTTTAATGTTCTACTTTTTTAGAAAATATAAAAATGCATAGACATTTACCCACAAGTTAAAGCTGAACAAGTAATGAGTACATCACTGCATTCCGATTACCCGGACAATTTATGGCTATTATTAATGAAGATATATTGTGTGACTGGGTAAAGTTTTCAAACGGCAGCACAACTGACCAGTGAATAAATTTATTTTATTACTAGTAACATGGTACACTTAAATGGTGAAACTAAAAAAAAATAACCATTAATAAAAGCCGTTTCAAACGTTTTTTTTTTAAAAATCATTCAAATGATAGCGCAGTTTAAAACTTCAACTATGTAACATAAAATAATATGACTTAAGTTTAGCAGTTGGTTAGTAAACTTATAAGAAATCGCTAAACTATCCTTTTCGGTTTACGTTATTTGCGTGACTAAATTTATGACTTTTTGTAGAAACATCCTTTCGACTGACTGTGATATTATTTTAAAATATCACTTCGATAAATCATGGTCAAACAATTATTTGAATTAAATGTTTGGAATAAAATTCATTCACTAAAGAAATCGACCAACCAAAACCAGCTGAAGATAAATCATAAGACAACAGCACTAATCAACCGACTGAATAAATTGAATTTTATATTTAGAATACTGGAACGTATCGATAAGATGATTAATAATTGTTGATAAAACTGAGGTCAGTTACACTCCCCCATTGTATCACTGTGAAAGTCCTCACTTTACCAATTACTTTCCTTTAATTGTTCGGATATAAACAAATTGCGTAGTTTGTTTTCCTTATGAATGTTTTTTTGACAAGACATTTTACTGCTACATTGATTCTCAGTTTACATTAAAGGACGTACATATAAATCCAATATTGTGGTGCATCTAAGGTGTATGTTACCATGACAACTTTCAAGCTTTTTATTAAATCAAAAGAACTGATGTTTAAATCAACTGATATATGATGTGAATGGATTTTAAAGTTTAATAGAGACATTAGGGATTCTTATCATAATTCGGACGTTACTTTCGACTTGTTACACGGTAAGGTCAAATGTATTAGGAGTGAGCTAGGTAGCACACCTGATAAATATAAAAATGTATAAACTGATTTCCAGCCACCGATATTTACAAAGACAGCTAACGAATAATACTGAATAATTTTAGCGATGCTGCGCTTTTTATTATTTATTCACCCTGGTGTTTCCAGGACTAAACGATAAAGGCATTGAAGGTGTGAGATATAGAAGCCATTTAATTCCTTCAAAAAAACATATTATTGTTCTCTATGAATTTTTTATATAAATAAACGTGAATACTCTTGATAGTAAGCAATTTCTTATGAGTTTCTCACTTTTGTCAAAAAAATATTTAAAAATTCCACAAAATGATCATGCTCAAATCCTTGTATTAATACCAGAGTAAAGTAATAAAAATCAGCCCGTTAAACATGTACTTGAATTGAGATAATATCAACATACTTTATAGAATCACAAAGCCATATGTGATTCACATATACAGCATTCACATTTGCAAATAGACATATGACTATTTACTGTTTGTCAATTCAAGAAGTTTTGTATGAAGTGGATCCACGTTATAAATAAAATAGATCTATTGAACACTTAAAACTGCACAAATCTATTATTGTTATTATTGGCTTTATTCAGTATTATATTTTTGATACAACATAGAATTCTCAGCACAAAGTAATTCAACAAGTTTTCTTTTTCATATTTCTTGATCGACCCTTGCGATAAATATTAAGTGATCACCAGTTAGATGTTAGCAGTTCAGGAATCGACATCTGAATAATGTATATTCTTTACGATGCATATATAACCAGCAACCACAATGTCTCTAATTGGGCTCTTTTGTAACTTGTACAGAGAGATGTAATCAACTTTTCACAAACTCACCTTAATAGGCTATGAGACTAATAGGCATAAAGATGTGTTAAAACAAAGAAAATAGATAACTTGTTGAAATATCCATATGGCAGGAACAAGTAGCCCAGATATTCAAGCAGGCCGTCTTATTTGCCACCATATAATCTGTAGTAGATCCAAGGTAATTAAAATGAAGCTAAATCTTACCATTTAATTAATCTTTTACTAACATTTTGTTCTGTTGTCTCATCATTTTTTCCTTCAAAACACACATTTAGATGTGACTTACAAGAAAAGATTTAGTAAAAACAAAACAATTCAACAGTATTGACAACATACACATAAAAACACTATGATATTTCGATTAAACACATGAGTATTCTTAGAAATAACACTTAAATCTGCTTTACAACTTTATTTAACACAAAATTAGCCATAAGTGAATTATGAATTTTAGATATTTTTTAATGTTTACATAAAAGATAGATGATTATTTGATATTTGAATAAGAAAGAATACAAAAACAAATCCAGAGCACTCATTTTGTAATGATGATAAGATAGATCAAAGGAAGCAAAAACGAAAAAAAAACTATTACGTAAGTAAAACATTGAAGTGTTGGATTATGTTAATGGATTTTCTATAGTTAAATATGTGAAACAATTATTAAGATCTTGAAAAATTACATAATTTAATTCATGTATTACTGCTAATAGTAGTCTTAGTAGTAAATTATGAATACATTTAATGACGAGATTTTTATGCAAGTGAATAAAACCACATATACTCATAGGTATTTACTCATTAGTAATAGGTATAGAAATGGATTTTGTGGATGTCATGATCTGATATCTTGATATAGTTAGTAGACAGTAACTCATAGATGATATTTCTTTAGGATTAAACTGCATTAAAATTTATTTAAAATTGAAGATGTAGATCATTTTGATTTTAAACCAGTGATTTAATTATATCATTCTCGACATGAGACCTATAGATTTCGTATCATGAATTATCTTTCGGTAGGATGTTCGGATAGAGAATATTCCTGAGTTGAGGATTTATTTGGTTTACCTAAAAATAGCTACTTTATTTTTCAGTCTATTTTTTTCTAAATAAACATTTAATAATCATGTATTCATATGAAGAGCATTGTGATGATTGAACCATTAAATATTATTAGCCTACCACCCAGCCAGAAGAAATATGATTTATACTGCTACACTACAAGTCAACTGAGATTGAATATATGGACTATTGGATTCCAGCTAAATGGTCTAAACGTGTCATCTTTAAACAAAGACCTATAGATCCTTCTCTTAGACTTTTATTTATTATTGAATGGGGACTCCTAGTTTGTTCTAGATATGAACAAAATAGTTGTATAATGCTGTTTGGTTTCCCTAAAGTCTTCTTGTTAGCATCAATTCGTCATGAAAATTGCTTTCAAAAGTATCTTGTTGAAATCACTAGGCGCAAACTTAATATATTCCTCCCAAAGTTATTTAAAGAATGTTTCTTTTGCCGGAAAGTAACAAACTAACTTCATTATTGTTAAGTATTTCATCACAAAATGTATTTAACAATTGACGTTTCACTAAATAATATCATAGAAAATATACACTAGCCCAACATGAGAAGAATCAGTTAGAACAAAATATGTTTATTTCCCCATCATTTTTAAAATATTCAATCTTGATCATATTTACGTAACTATTTAGCATAATCACGTGAAGACAAAGTTTAAGTAACAACGTGATCTCATTTAGAAGGCTTGGACTAGATGATATACCGAATGATGTCGAAATAGGGAAACTAGCTATCCAAAATAAAGTGTACTGTCCAGAAGATTTGTGATTACTTAGTTTAACTTAACAAGAAGTCAGTGAGATCCATTACAGGATTAGTCTAATTTTCTTGATAACATAATTTGAGAAATAATCAGTGGACACTAGTGAAAAATTAATAGTTTCTTGCTGAATATTCAAATAATGTATAAAAATCTATTCTGAGAACAATAAACTATCCAATCTACATCTTATGGTAAAAATTGTTCCCTGTACTATGGATAACACTTTAGTTATTTTATTTCACAAAATCAATCTGATCACATTCGTGCATTGATACATGTTAAACTAATTTGTTAAAAATATATTAGAATAACTGAACTAAATTATTATCTACTGATTGTTACATATGTGTGTAGTAACATATATATAAACCATAGTTTATTAATGATTACATTATATCCGTTTCGTAACACAAACATCAATGCACTTAATCACTAGAGCCGATATCTTGACAGTGCTTGGATTGTTAGATAAAAACATAATGTCAGATGACGTTCAATCTGAAAATGTATTTCTTCATTTTAATATCAAATGAATTATTGTATGATACAATACCGAAATGGGATTTTTACAGTCAAATCCATAGCTATGCACTGATTAATGTTACACCATCATAAATACTAGATATATTAGACATATACTGTTATCTTGAGATATTTATATACTATACATTTCATACATATCTAATCAACACTAAAGGTTGTAGTGTAAGAAATAAGCTACCATATGATGATTGATTGTATTTCTAAATCAACTCCCGAGAATCCTTATTCACGTAATTAAATAACTAATGGTATTTCATGTGCTTATAATCAAAATGAAACTATTATACACATGATACGCATAACTGACATTAACATAGGAAGATAAATAATAAGCATAAGGTTATATATATATAGAGGGAGCGAGAGACGAAAATAATTTTTATTCAGACAGCTATATTTGTAATCAATCAGATTTAATTTTCTTAAAAGCTATGCGCTAAACAGTTAAGTTACTAACAGTTTCTGTTAAATTGACCTATATCTGAGCAAATTAAACATTTTAAACTAAATAGATAACACTCATATTTATATGTATCATCATAGCTATTAATTACGAATGCTAATTATTTACTGACTAAAATAGTAATATTGACAAGTTGTATTTGTACTTTCAACAATTAATAAACTGATATCTGAAAGCAGACAATATACAATATTTCTGAAGCTTTTCATTTTCAGAAAAGAAAATTATATCAATCTAAATGAATGAATAGTGTTTACACGTTTACATGTCTGTCTTGTAACAATGAAGAAAGGCCTTTATTAGTTACTTAAAATAACAATATGATATATTGTTTGGATCAGGAACGAGAACTTTAAAAAATGGTTAATGTTATATAACGTGTTACTATGTAAAAATGGTGTGCCATGTATGACATTTTTATGTCCGTCCAGTTTTTAAATAAGACGTTTAAAAGAATGATTTTAAATAATAAGCAAATAAATTTACTTTTCGCATGTCAGAATTCTGGTGAGTGGCCTAGGCTCCT